GTTTAGAGTTCCATTGAAGAATCACAGAAGGAAGGTGCAGTAATTTTTAAATAAATATACAAACCAGGAAAATGGCAGCAGCAAACATGCTATAACAAATGAGGTAAAACAAATAAGGAAGAAACCATATGCCATTTACCCTCCATCTTCCCCCGTTTACAAACTAAGAAACCCCAATATAATGCCAAAGTTTATATCTATCCTTCATAATCCCTTACGTTACAGAAAAACTCACCTGTAATTAAGAACCCGTCTTAAGAGTTTACGTTTTCTTTATATTTTAATTTTGTGATTTTATCTGGGTTCCCACTACTGCAATGTGATGTAATACTTGCAACGCAATTAAGTACTTACACTTCTGACAGCTTGTGTCCCAGATTGCGGATCAGCACTTCTTTAATGGCTTTGAAATGACAAGGAACTGCCTAAGCCAATGAGTTACCAGATAGTTACCATTTCATAAGGGTTAGATTAATTTCCAACTATACAACAATAAAAGTATACACATCAAAATATAGATACAACCACATTGTTCATTCATACCTGATCCTGCAATGAGGAAAGGGTTGATGAGTACTCTTTCGGAACCTGCCGCAGAGCGGCCACAAATTGACCGGCTTTCACATAAAACCCTCTATTGGCCTCACACAGCTTCCGAATTCTCGAAGCGGAACGACTATGAACCTAAATGCCATCATCATAAGACATACAATACAACTGAAGTGAACCACTTTCATATGATTCTCACTTATCAGGCTACAAGCAAACATAAAATTCTATTTCTTCTGCAAATTAATTTAACAATTTGATTAAAATTCCAATTCTTCTGCAAATTAGTTAAACATTCATATGAAAAGAAAAGCAAATTAAAACACCAACCTGGGATAGCTTCTGACGGTACTCATCGGAGTCCGCTGGGATTCCGCGCAAAGTGAGCTTGTAGTCAACGGCGGTCAACGCAATCTGCAATTTCCGGAAACATATTACTAACAAAATGCAATTGATAGACAAATAAACTGGAGAATGTGAGAGAGGGAAGAAACAAACGGTGGAGATTGCGCGGGAAGACCGAACGACGCCGTGAATTGGTGTGCGGAGTTGTTCGGGGAAGGATGGGAGGAAATCGGCGGAGGAGGATGGGAGGAAATCGGAGTTGAAGGCGTGGAAGGTGAGGCCAGTTGCAGCGACGAGGAGGACAGTGGTTTTGGCCCTCCGCATTTCTTCTGAGACTTTTAATTTGTTTCTGGACTCGCAGCTATTCAACCATTAAAAACCCGCAAAGATGTCCACGTGACCGACACGGACTAACGGAAATCAAGTTCAGGATCAATCTAAAAGGTGAAAATTCTCTTGTGAATTATATTGAAGCGGTTTCCGGTGCACATATCATTATATTATTAAATAGAAACGTTATAGTTATGATGAATTTGTTTACGTAAATTGTTGTTGTTGTTATTTTTTTTTATTTATTTAATTTTATAGTAGATCAATTTGGTGTAAATTCTATTTAGAATTCAAAAGACTTTGGAGTAAGTTTAGATTAGGTACTAGTTTGGATATTTTTTTGGAGTTTTAACGAAACACTTTTGAAACTATTCATTTTTAACGAAAATGACATTTCTAGTATTCACTTAGAACACTTTTTTATCATTTTGATTAAAACTCAAAATTTTCAAACTCTTTTCATTAGTTTTTTTTCTTCTTTTTTTTTCACAAAATAATAGTAGATTTTTTAAAAAAGAATTCAGTTTGTTTGACCATTTAATTATCTGTAAAATTGATGATATGACAAACATGTTAAAGTTAGAACTGTTTTTAGGATGAGGATCCTCTCTGGATTCCCTTTGTGGGGATCCTAAGGATCCTCACATCACAACCGTTTATTGTACATCGTACGGTCAATTTTTGTTAGTTACTATTTATGTTTAATTTAAAATGATTTATGACCGCACGATATATGATAAACGGTTAGGATATGAAGATTTCATAGGATCCCCACAATTTGGATCTGGATGGGATCCAAATCCCTGTAATTAGGGCGCAAAGAAGCTACAATCATCATTATAACCAAAATGTTTTAGTGTCTTTTAAGAGTTGGACCGCTACAAGTCTTAAACTTTAGACATAAACTCACATATACGAAAACTTCTAAATAAAACTCAAAAATCTGTAAATAATAATACTCTTTCCGTGTGAATACACAACTTTCTTAATCTAAAACTCCATCTCCCTCTCGTTCTAGATCAACCAATACCAAAAACCATAGTTTCAATGGGACTGGCGGAAGCATGCGAAGAGCCGAAGAAAATTGATGAAAATTTCTCATATTTCTCAGCATTCCAAAAGTTAGAATTGCCGTGGACACCAATTCTCTTCCTCCAACTGTTTGATGAGTAACTTGATTTTTTCATATCAGCGCCCCATTGATCATTAAAATGTATGGGCCAATAGTGTAATATCGAGTATAAACAAACGCTTTTAGAGCAAGTACACCACAAGATTTCATCGCTCGTAAGCATGCATATGTTAAAGCACTCACAACAGCGCCAAAACTATGATAGGAAGAGAGTAGGTTGGCTTTAATTTTCTTAATTTGCCTTTTATTTGACACCAACCATGTTCGACATGGTCCAGTATCGTCCAAACCATGTTCAGCAATCCAAGGGATGGGCAATGGTCCACTTACTCAACAGCTAGCCCCTGGCCAACCACCCTGCTTCATGAGAAGGTTTTGTATTACACAGGACATCGTCACATGACGTTCCTTGTCAATAACTCACGTGATCATTGCGATGTTAAACCCCATACAAGTTGTTCTGTTTTCATACGGGACTAATCGATTACAAGCGCTCTCATCGCAAACCCTAAAATCCCAAATTCGATCCAATTTCAAGCGCAATTCAAGAACTTACATTGGTTTTTGTGGGTGGCGAGTTAAAAATTTGTCATTGCAATTTGTTCCCGCATTGTCTTTGAATGTTTTTCGTATATGTACACATCTGAACGTCCCAAATAAATTCTGAAATAACTGGTTATGGTGCATGGGAGTTCCGTAAAGAAGCATTATGCCACGTCCGGCTTCCACCCGCCGCTCACAAAAGAGCTCAAATAGTGAATTAACCGCGGCGGTGGTGGAAGCCGAACAGAATAAATATATGATTCTAATTCATAATGTATCAGCATATGAAACCCAAAAGGTATATAAAAATCATAAATATTTTTTTTTGATATATGGTGCAGAAAGATGGATCAGATACACCTGGCTTGGTGGTCTCTGTGTAATACAGAGATATAATTCGCTCAGTTATTTCAGCTTCGATCATTTGGGGAAATAATCATCACTTCCATCTTTCTTTCTTTTTCTTTTTCTAAAAACCCAAAATTAAAACACATAAACATTGAAATATAAAAACAAAAACACAAAATTCAAACACCCTGAAGAAATTTTTTTAAAATAAAATTAATAAACCAAAAATAAATAAAGATGGTGGATTTTGGGGATTTGAGAAAGATCAGAGTTCTGGCTTGGAAATTAAAAATAGCGCAAGTTTGAATCAGCTTCGATCATATGGGGAAAGTAGCATCACTTCAATCCCAAATCCACCTCCAAAAACATAAACCCTAATTTCAAACAACACATAACAAAACCACAGAAAATAAAAAACAGAGAGCCGAATAAAATCTACCGTTGACAGAAAAAGAACGGCTATGTAGCCCCGGATTAAAACCCTAAAAATAATCAGACACCGTGACGAAGAAGGTGAAGCGTTGGGGAGGAGAGGAGATAGAGTAGGAGGGTCATGGAGGCGATTCAATTATATAGGCACTCGTCCTGCGCTTGGAAACCCTAATTTCATTGGGTATTTTAGGCGCGGTTCAAGTAATGACAATACGGCGCCGTAGCGTGATAGTTACCCTAAGGCCCAATATTAGAGGTAAGCCCATGAACTCTAGTTTCGAACAAAGCCCATCAATTTGGTTTTTTCAGAATATAAAACATAAGGCACTGTTTGTTATCATCCATTGGATTTTTTTTTTAAAATATGCTTCGAAGAGTCTTCTCAGGGTAAAAACTAATAAGCAAATCCATTACATATTAAGGTGAACTGCGCATAAGTCGCATGGTGATCGACTCGGACTGTTTGCAATAAATTGGGGTCAGGGCCTATTGACATGGGCTTCTAGGACTTTCTTAAAGAATGTGGCTCATTAGCCCGTTATAATTTGACTAATGCTCTATATATTCCGTCAAAGGTAAAGTAATCATATTTGATACTTTATATACACAAAATGTTTCTATTGGTCGAGATTTTATACCTTCCCATAAATATTAAAGTATTAAACTGATTATCTTTGCTTTTACCAAAAAAACAAATAATATCGTTGCCAAACAGCACATATTATATCAATGATAATAAGTTTCAACAACCGTGCAAATACCCATCAAACCAAAGCCTGCAGAATCACATTCCATATGGTAATAAAAAATAATAATAATAATTAGAAGGATGGTGATACCTACACACCCATTACATATTACGATGATTTGCGCATAAGTCTCGTGGCAATCGACTTGGACTGTTTGTAATAAATTGAGCCCGGGGCCTATTGACATGGGCTTCCAGGACTTTCTTAAAGAATGTGGCTCATTAACCCATTATAATTTGACTAGCGATCTACATATTCCATCAAAGACAAATTAATTATATTTGATAAGTTGTATACACAAAATATTTCTATTGGCCAAGATATTTTACTTTCCCATAGATATTAAAGTATTCAATTGAATATCTTTGCTTTTACCAAAATACAAAGAATATCTTTGCCAAACAGCACATATTACATCAATGACAATAAGTTTCAACAACCATACAAATACCCATCAAACCAAAGCCTGCAGTATAATAATAATAATTAGAAGGATTGTGTTATCTACACAGCTATTTTTACCTCTCACACACCGCCTCTCAATATCCGACTGTTAGATCTAATGAATCGACTAAGTTCAAAGGATATAAATTAACAAGAGGTGTGGAAGAGATAAAAATTTATATGCAGATAATACCACCCTAATTAGAAAAAGAAAAAAAATGGAAACCCACAATATACCCAAGGCCTGATTCCTTTAATTTCAACACATTATAATTCAAAGTACTAGTTATCATTTGAAAGATAGCTTCTTTGAGCTTTTATGGTTTGGATGATTGCGTGAGCTCTTGACAACTGTAACCGGACATGAAGCATTTGTCACCACATAGATGCTTACACTGCCCAGCAACACCCTGCAAATTCATCGCACATATTAATCAACCATTTTGCAGGAAAAATATTTAATCAAACACAAAAACTCTTATTTTCTCTCGTTTCTTTTATGTTTTTATGAGGAAATATTAGTCGAATAATGATCACCTTTTGATAGGGCCTAAGCCCCTGCTTCCAACGACAAGCGAATCAAGCTTGAGATCTTGCACCGCATCACACAACTTTTCTCTTGGATCCCCCCAGTACACCTTTGCCACAGCCTTAGCCTATACACAATATCGAATCAACACACAAATTAATTATACTCTAATTTATAATCTAATAATTCATGTCTCTACGCACGCAAACTAATTTGTGAAGAGTGGCGACTACCAATCTACAGTGTATGATATACAATATTAATATCAATATTATATTGATCGTATTGATAGTATACTAGACTTCTGTAGATCGATATTCATTACCAGATAATCGCTAGATAGATAACTACATATATATCATGACCGTTCTACCATCTTTCTGTGCAGTTGTGCAAATCGTATCTATTAGTCTATACTTCTATGTATACATACAAAATAATTAAACTAGAGATGAGATTAATATATAACAAATTATCATACCCCTTTAGTTTTTGACACTTTGTCAAGAATATCAAGCACCTCTGGATCATTTGTAAGTCCATACTGCTTTGAGACATTAGTCTCCACAAGTTCTTCCAGAGGTATCAAAGCTGCAATAAAAAACACAAAAAACAAAAAAACAAAAAAAACAAAAGAAATTATATGTAATTCATCAATTTAAATGACTAAGGTAACTAATGATAATTAACAAGTATATATATGTTGAGAGAGAGTGAGACATGCGTACGTGATCCAGTGTTCTCAAACAGCTGCTTCCTGCTTGTGGTAGCTGCTGTGGTTGGCTCAACGTGGATTAATACGATGCGATCTCCTTGTTCGATCAGATTATCGACTGCCCATCTTAGTGCTAATTTGCTTGTTGCTGAATAATCCATTCCAACTCCTACACTGCCTGCCTTCCCCATCGATCTCAACTTCCGTTCTCTCTCTAGATCTCTCTCTCTCTCTCTCTCTCTAATTAACCTTTCTTTCTTCGAGTTAATCCGGCTTATCTATAATACTTGGGCATTGATCTTTTGCTGTGGATGATACAGTCTACAGAATATTAATTAATAGGAAAATAGACAGAAAATTTTAGCATAAATTCTCCTGCAACTTGTTCTAACGTACATTAATATCATTTAGTCGATGTGCGCCCGCGGATTTGTTGCTTTAGTTAACACGCATAGATTCGTTCTTTTAGTATTCATGGAAAATACTTTACCTGATGCCCAATTTGCAGATACTTTTATATATACTTTTCCTATGGCGTTTCTAACAAGTTCATGTAACATGCATACTCTTGTAAAAAAAAAAATATACCTACTTTTAATTGTCATTTGTCACATTTTTAATTCATGGAACTATAACTTGCGCTGTAAAATTTTCATTTTACACTCCTCACAAGTGTATTTTTCTTTCCACATATAAAAAATTTAAAGTGCAAAATGAGAATTGTGGAGTACCAATAACAATTCTTTTAATTTATTGTGACTTCTAAAGTATAACAATGACTGAGCCGCGGAAGAAATTTTTTTTTTCCATTTCTTTCTAATTTATCTTCTACATTTGGATTCAGATTATGAGTTGTAGTCTCTATTTTTTGTTTTGCTTTTACATTTGGATTCAGACAATGCGATGCAGTACTTTGTTTGTTGTTCTACTTTTACATTTGGTTCAAACTATTGCAATGTAGTGTCTGTTTTTTTATTCTGCTTTTACATTTGGACTCATACTCTGTAATACAGTGTTTATTTTTGTAAATCTATTTTCCTATGGATTTTCTTCAAGTTTCCAAGAGATACAAGCATTACCTTGCACCATTTTCGTATGGATTTTCTTCAAGTTTGCAAGAGATACAAGCATTACCTTCCACCATTCTAAATACAAATTCAATAACAAAATTAAATAGCAAAAAGGGCCTAAAGTTCGAAGCACGACTTTTCCATATTTGATTAACCGCTCAGTTCCTTCTAAACCTCATCGATAGTACTTATGTTTAATATCTATATCCCTAGCCTCAACAAGCTTTCTTCTAGAAAATCTCTTCAGCAACCGATGTGTGACCACTACTACAAAAGTACCCAGTAGTGTCATTTTAAAAAGCGACAAGAAAAACTCATATATGTCGGATGTTTTGGAAAAATCCAACATAAACTCATGTAATGTCGGATAAAAGAACCGACACCATTGCTAGCATCATGAAAAGGCTTTTGTTGTCGATTAGTTCCCTTTCCGCCAAGAAAAAGGAAAGCTATATAAAATAAAATAAAAGGATAGTAGTGTCGGATAAAAGTGACATTGAAACTTACGTCGGATACAGACGACATTATATACTGAGAAAGGCTGTCGAATTCAGCAGTTTGATGTCGCCCATAACCGACACCACTAACCATTAATAATAATAAAAATATAAAAACCCTATTTCAGTTTTTTATTAAATAAAATAATAATTAACAATGGCACAACCTAATTAAGAATTCCACTGAAACCAACATGAAAGCAGTCAAAGCACACAGACCACTCATAAACATTCCGTGCAATACCACAATGGCACAACCTAATTCATCTGATGACACCAAAATTAGTAGCTCTCCCAAATTTACAAATAAAACTGTTCAGCTAATAATCATGGCTTGCATTCATCCAAATAAAACGTTAATCGACAGTGAATTAAACTCGAAGAAGTACATTACATTTTTTAACCATACAAAGCAAGGAAAGTTAAGAGCAACCAAGTTTGAGCGTAAGAGTTGATTGAAAGGGAATTGAGACTGACCTTCCTTCATAAACCTTCCCATGCGCTCCCTCACCAAATTTCACCCCGATAAACAACAATTTCGGGTCCACCAGCAAATTCTCGTCGATTGTCAGCTGCTGGGCAGCAATCAAACCATTCTGCGTGCTCAACTTCGGCTCAACAGCCTCTACATAGTCCCTCAAAACCGCTTGCTCACGCTCCCTCTCTTCCCTTCCGCCGCTCCTCACTCTGCAACTCATGCTGCAACCCTCAAATAATTCCAGAATTCCCCATTCCAACCATCTCTTCCACTTTAATCACAAAATCCACATCACCCCAAATCAATATTCCGACACTTCATCAAGTTTCACTCAACTTTTCTCCAATTTTCACAAAACCAACATCACAAAAAACCCAATTTCTCCAAAGATTTTCTTATCCAAACTAAACATTCAGAGCAGATTCTAACCCCACTTCTACCAGAACTCCACGAATTAATCCCACAAAAAGGAAAGATAAAATGGGATGATGAGTGCATCGGGGAAGGGGAAAGAGGAGGGAAGTACAGCGGGGAAGGGGAAAGAGAAGGGAGGTGCAGCGGCGCAGGAATAGTGAAGGAGAAAGAGATGCGCGAGGGTTTTGAAGTAGGGTATTTGATATTCCTGTCTGATAAAACCGCTAGTAATTGTACATAACATCGGAAAAAACCGACACCAACTCTGAAAACCGACAAAACTGCAGTAATGAATATCTGACACAACCTGCAAGCGTGTCGGTTAAACCGACACCACTCTGCACCAATTGACATCACTCTGTCCAATCCCGTCAGTTACAACCGATACCACCAATTTCGCGTGCTAAACAAGCGGGAAGATTGAAAATTAAAACACATCCTGTTAGATAGAAAGCGTCAGAAATAGTTTTTTAACCGACACTAATTTTTATATCGGTTAAAAGCGTCACTATTCTCATTTCATCCAACACCATTATTTAAAAGCATTAAAAACTATCCAATGGAAACATGTTAAAGGGCGGTGCTATTTGACATTTTTAGTTTATGTCGGTTATAAGCAACAGTGATGCTTTATCATCCGACATCATATAAAAAGGCTGTCGGAAATTTCTTATCCGACAATATATTGTATAAAACAGCCACCAGTCTTCGACACAATAAGCCAGTTTTGTAGTAGTGGACTACTCCTTCCCAGACCCCGCAGCCACCATCCACTTCACGATCTCGTGAAGGTCATTGAAGGTTCTGGAAGGAATCGTGTCAATCACAATGTCATGGTTGCGGATCAACTGAGGTGTTGGGATCCGGTGCTACTCGTTGTCGCCAACGACCTCTTCCTCTTCATTGGAGAGAAGATGGGAGAGAGGGGAGGAGAGAATGACGGGAGAAAGTAAGGAAAGAATGGGAGAGAGAGACGTGAGAGAAAGCCAAAAGAGAATGGAGTAGATAAGGAAAAGAGAGTGAAGAGGAGAGAAGGAAAACAATAAATTGAAGTAAGAGAAAGGTAGAATAGTTATTTTCTAAATAGCCTAAGCACATGTGACATGCTTCATGGACTTATGACTAATTAGTAAAGATTCCACTGACCTTTTGCTAAATAACTCCCTTAGATGATTAATTTATCTTTTATTTTAGTGTAAATTTAGATAGAATTTATCAAAACTCAAAAGTCTTGAACAAGGATTTGGATCCAATTTGGAAACAACCTTTCTCTTGACACAGTAAAACCTTCCTAAAAGTTATACTTTATAAAACCTCCAGTCATATAAAAAATTCTAGTCCCAACTTGAGACCAGTTATGTATAAGATAGACTCCACAATAATAAGTTATAATTTTTCTTAGTCTCATGTTAAGGAAACACGTCTCCACATAATAATTGTCAATGAGTACAAAAATATGCAATATCACAGATAAAAATTTAGGATAAAAACTATAATATTTCTCAAAAGTTGTTTAGGATAATGCTTTAATTTTTAGAATTGATGTCATGTCTTTGAGCTTGTGGATAAATTTGAGCAAGAAATAAAATACTTAGCGCCCAAGGAATCCAGAAATACAACATTCATTAAGGGTAAATAAGTCAATGAATAATGTTTTTAACTAAATCTTTATTAAGTAATAACCTCCATAAAGTTACAAAATTGGTTTAGTCCAAACTTTAAGATTTTGTAATGGTTTTACAGCAATAGTATAGATGGCTAGCATCTCAACACACACATTGATTTTTATGAAATTATTTCATTTTAATAAAGGTAAATTAAGATTAAATACCAAGTTGAACATGAGTTTTAAGAAGAAGAAAAATATCAATTTTTAAGGAAAACTACCAAGCATAACCCCACAACCTAGGGCTGGGTACGAGCCTGGTTGGGCCTAAATTTGAAGAACCCAGTCCTATTTGATTTAAGTAACGGGCCAGGCCAGGTAGAAGGATTTTGAGTTTGGGAACCAGACCTAACCTGACCCATTTCAAATGGGCTGGTTCGGGACGGGTCCATGTAGGGGTGGGCACTTGGAACCGAAACATAAACCAAATTGGACCGCACCGAACGGTTCGGTTTTGCAGTTTTGAAATAATTTCGGTTTTGAAACCAAACCGCAATGTAGAAAACGGTTTGGTTTTGGCTTTTGAAAACCGCACCACAAATATTAATAAACGTTTAATGAAATGTCCATATTAGATGTCATGTTTTAATTGATTATTTGTTAGAATTCATATATTTAGTATGAACTCAACCACATTAAAATATCATCATTCATCACTCATCACTCAATGCACTGATTGTAGGAGTTGTGCATTTGCTGCAAGTTTTTGGCTTCTCATAATTGCACTTATTTGATTTTAGGGAGCAAGGGTGCTCAGCTTAGAAAACATATTGACGCTAGTACACTTGGCAGCGGCAACCTAAGAGAATGCTTCCAACTGGAGAAGATTTAAATGAATGGCTTGCTGTCAACAGTTCTCGCTCTCTCTCTCTCTCGCACACACCCACACACACCCCATAAACTAGTGCCTGACAATTTTTAGTTTGTTTCGTCCATTATATGGTTGATACGTGGTTAAAAGTTTGTCTCATGACAAAAAACTTATTTGATATTAGGAGCTGTGCATTTGCTGCAGACAGTATCCCAATTTTAGATGAAAATAGATTATCAAAATATCCTCACTCAATGTACTGTTTGTGGACATGGGTTCATAGATTCATGTATTGTAAGAAAATTGAAAAATGACACTATCTTATGCGTAGATAGGTATAAATTTTAAACGGTACGTTTTTTTCTTAAGAACCGAACTGTTTGAAACCGTGCCGCACTGAATTGAACCATGCCCACCCCTAGGTCCATGAGTCCAATGACTTTTATTTATTTATTTATTTTTTTTTCAGTTTTGGAACAGCGCCGATCTGCTCCTCAACCTTCACGAGCTCGTCGGAATTAGCCTCTGTATTGGCCTGTAATTTCCAACCTGAACAAACACAGATCGCCAAAAAACCCTAATCAATATCAAATCTCCGTTACAAACTTTGAATTCAGAAACATTTACTCATAACAATGCATCGTTCACAATTCAACTAATTGAGAGATGCAAAAACCTTAGGTGTACCTTGATCGGGGAGGAATGAGAGAAGGCAGAGCATAAGCAGAGTGGAAAGGATCGTCCATTTCCTTATCGTTGCAACTCGAAAACCAAAAAACCAAAACTGAGATTTATCTGTTTCTGGGTTAATTTTCCATATATCCAGAAAACTAAAACCCAAAAATCGAATCCCTTTTCGACTCATGCACGCCTCGAATTGGTAGAAATTTCCCAAACAGAACATCATCAAAACCAAAATTGTTTTCCGTTTGGTTCAATTATGCAAGCACAACAAGGATATGTAGAGATCGAAACCCAAACCTATCCTCGACGAAAGCCTTTACCTCCTTGGCGTCGAGAAAATGACGCTCTCACAAGTACAGTCTTTGCAGTGAAAATGCAGAGAAAATTAGCAAAACCCAGATTAGGGTTTTGGGCTAAAACTAAAAATGCATGATTTGTGGAAAACCCAGCTAAGATTAAGAACTTGAAGAAGAAGAAGAAGAAGAAGAAGGTTCGAGGAGGAGAGACCGTGGGAGATAGAGAGGCAGCTGAGACAAAGAAAGTGAACTGAATTCTGGAACCTTGGACTCGGGTAGAAACCAATGGTTAAGATTGGATGATAGGTTATCATTCAATCTCGGCTGTTCATTATAATTAGAAACGGCTCGATTCGAGTACCTTTTTTTCTACTTATCTGGACTCGGCTTGCCCTGTAAATGAAAAGGGCCGAGCCCGCCTTGCCCCGTTTATTCTGGGAACCGGCCCGTACCCGCTCCGACCCGCAGCTCTTATACCCATTTACCCACCCCTACCACAACCCATTCTATTTGGATTAAGCCACACTTTGTGGCCCAAGACATTGATAAGCATAAATATAGTCACATTTTCCCCCCCGTTGAACATGACCCATTGACCACCAACACAATCACTAGAAAGTTTCATCGAACGGTCACCAAAAATTTTTTAGTCGTTCGAAATTTAGCCGAATATTTTTTTCCACCAACCGTTAACACAAGACATTTTTACTTTCAGTCACCAACATCGATGGTGGCTTACATATAACATGTCCCTAACTTTATGATTTATAAAGGTTTTACTGTATAGATGGCTAGCATTTGAACACGCACATAGATTTTTATGAAATTTATTTATATTCAATAGAAAATTTATTTCATATTTATATTTATATTATTTTCATTTTAATACAGGTAAATTAAGATTTAATACCAAGTTGCACATTAATTTGATGAAAAAATATCAATTTTAAGGAAAACTACCAAGCACAACCCATTCTAATTGGGTTAAGCCACATTCTATGGGCCAAGACATTGATAAGCATTAATACATTCACATTTTCCCTCGTTGGACATAACCCATAAACCACCAGCACAGTCGTCGGAAAGTTCACTGAACGGTCGCCAATTATTTTTCTGGTCGTCCGAAATTTGGCCCCTTTTTTTTTTTTTCACCAACCGTCAACACAAGACATTTTTATTTGCGGATACCAGCATCGGTGGTAGCTTGTATATGAACATCTCACTTGGGAGAATTGAACCAGTGGGCCGTGACATCACAAGTGAAACAATGTCAACTTACCAAATTAACAACATCCTTTCATTTCATATTATTTCTTCATGAAGGTGTTCATATCACAGGTGGTTGTTTGGTGTAGGGGTACAAATTCTTGCTTTTCACATGTATATGCACCAAAAAATAAAGGACTTTTACACTTAAGTGATCTTTTGGAAGTCAATGTTAGACAGTGACCTGAGAGTTGACTATATTCAGCAAACAAATTGCATCATACGTTTATTTGGTATAAATATTAGTTAAGGTAATAAATATCACAAGTGGTATTTATTGGTGTAGTTGTTACTTTCATTTTGAGATTTTGGGTTCATACTCTATTGAAGACATTTTTGAAATCATTTATCTATGAAATGAAGTGGCTAGTCGCCCAAAAAAATTGGCTAATAGATCACCGGTGGCCGAAAAAAGTTGGGATGGAGTGACAATCATGTAATTATTTTGAATTATTAGTGTTTGTATATATATAGATATATTTTTTTTTTCTTTTGAGAAACGTCAATGGTACGAGGGAATTTTTATTGATAACGAAAAAAATAAGTTACCCCTAGTCAAGGGGGGATATAAACCTTACCCTCAAAAAACAAAGACAACAAAAAGGTATACACAAAAAAAAAGGGGGACATAAACCTTACCCTTCTAGAAACAAAAACAAGAATGAAACAAAGAAAAAGGAGGGGGTTAGGAGAAGAAAAAAAAAAGAGTGAGACAAACTTGGATGCCGACATGCACAAAAAAAAGAGTGAGACAAACTTGGATGCTGACATGCACATTAATTTGAGAAGCAGTAACCAGGCAAACCAACATAGTTTGAAAACAAAGTAGCATGAGCCACCATCGAAGGAGAATCATGACATGTTATAGATGGAGAAGACAAGCCCATGTTAATTAGCAAAATTGTCCGCAACAAGATTTCCTTTGCGATATATGTGAGATGCGTAAAAAGTCATTTTCCAAATGTGATCTAAACAAATAGATCATTGCGTACAAAAAGGCCAAGGAGGATCAAAATTAGACGTTTGAAGAGAAGAAATAACACTAGAACTATCACTTTCCAACCAAAGACAATGCTAACCCCGCTGATACGCAAACTCTACACCAATAATAATTGCTGATAACTATGCAAAAAAAGAGTTGCGATGACCAATCCATTGACTGAAACCTCCAAGAAAACAACAATGGCAATTCCTGAAAACTCCTCCACAATGCAGCAGGACCAGGATTTCCTTTAGACAAACCATCTGTATCAAGCTTAACCCAAGGAAACCAATGGGGAGACCAAAGGACAAGAAGAATAGTAGGTGCCTTACGAGGGATAGGTCGGATCCCCAAATGATTCGAGTGTCAAAACCCTGAGAATAACCATGAATAAATTGCCCACCATGAACAATTGCCAAATTAATAGACATGCAAAGACGATGAAAATAGATTGGACAACCCTAAATTTCGAGCCTTCCAAATAGTTGAAATAGTATAAAGACTTGCAAAAATCCATAGATTGTGCAACTGTTTGAAAAAAGGGTTTACAGACATAGACATCCCAAAAAAAAAAACAACCAAAGAACCTAAAGGAAGCAAAGACGTATCAAATTGACATGCTAACCACCTCCAAAGTTGCCTAGATATCCGACATCAAAAGAAAAGATAATATTTCTGGTTGACTTTTCCATTAGTACATAAACTAAAATATAATATTTTGGCTAAAAATTTCTTAAGATATTTAAACTAAAAAATCCCATAAAAATAATTGTACTGATTTAAAAATAAAATAAAATTCTTCCACCTACTTCTCCTAGCTTCCTCTATCTTTCATATTATGCATAGCATGTATGAGATTACTAGTTTTGTACAGCAAAACACACAAGCTGGTTGGGATACGTCCCATATAGCCCTTGTGGCAGGTCCGCCCTTGACTCGTATGATCTATCCAATGATTTAAATCGGTTTTTTTCATGTCACTTTCAGGAAACACAAGTCCTCTAGCTAGAGAAAGCCTTGAGATTTCAAGCTCATAGATCTTCGTCTCTTTAACATTTTGTTGATGCACAAAATTAGTGAGACTTTGAAACAACGTAAAGTGTCAAGTTTGTGACCTTGGCATGATTGCTCCGGTCACCTAGTGATGATGATATGTAAAGAGCTAGAGATGGGGAAGCAAACACAAGATGTACATGGTTCACCCTAAATTTGGCTATGTCCACATAGTAAAGGAGTTTTCATTAATAGTGAAAGATTTACACAAAACATGGGTTCAAGCATAATTATCATTAGTGAGTTCTAATGATGAGTTTAAGCACAGTAATAGCATTCCCCCATAATTGTAGGAGAGTGGTCTTCTTTTATAGTTAAGGAGAGTCTCCAAGTTTCGTCCACGGTCGATGTGGGACTCTAGGAGCTTTATTCTGACGTTGACACATGTCGTATTGTGATTGACCTCATGGGTGGAGGAAAACTCTTGTGCTTCGGTAGGGGTGCCTCAACATGAACTCTTCAGTGGGTCCTTAAAGATATGAAATTGACCGGTGCTTCGTAGTTTAAGGATTAATCAAATATGGTACAAACACATTCCATATGAACCATCTTTTGCATGCATGTTAGTTTTGTCATGTCAATTAAGTGACAATTTTTGTTGTTTGTAAACCACATGCACGGGCCACAATGGGTGTGACAAAATAGACTAGGACAGAAAAGCAAAAGGAAATGCATTGTCTTTATTTTCTAAACTGTGGAGAATCATCACTAACAATTCCCCTTTGAGGGTGATCAACTAAACAGCTATCCAACTTTGGGATTTTAGTAACTACGCAAGAAAATGATGTGAAACAAAGGCGTTTCTCACAGTATACATCATGCATGAAGCATTACATTTATATATATATATATATATATATATATATCAGGATTATGGTCTACTTGATGGGATTCGTAGCTCGAGTTGTCGGTTGGAAATTGTAGAGTTGACTGCCAGGGTTGCAGCTTAAGTACTTGCGGAAACTTGGTTCCCTAGGAATCGTCAAGGGCCTGCTTGATCTGCAATACAAGAAGATTAAAGCAAGAAGAAAAGAAAGAAGCAAAGAAAAAAGCGAAGGCATATGGTAATCTTTTGTACATTTATCTGAATGATTATTGGCAGACCAAATTGTTCTTAACAGCCATGGACCCCCAGGCACCCAGCCACCAAAGTTTTGGGTAGGCTGAATCATTTAGCTGGGGAGCAATTTTTCAATATATTCAAACTACTTGGTGTTACAATTTTATTCAAAATTAACATGTATTTATTTTTTATTAATATATACTTTTAAAATGAAATATATAAATCTTCACTCATATTACATCACGTGATAAGTGTTTTAGACTCACAAATTAAGTTATTACCTTTGTGGAATGAAAGGTCTATCGAAAAGAGGCATCAACTGAGCCCTTGGAACCATCTCCTTTCTCAGTAAGCGAATCTCTTCCTCTTCTATCATCTGCTCAATTAATTTATTACAGCACTCTTCCATAAGAATTATATTATTGTTTCTCAAATATTTTTATATGTATACATATATATATGTGTATATATACCTTCTGCAACCTCTCTTCTTGTTTTCTCTGGTGCTCCAAGATACTCAGCTTGGTTGCAACCTGTATTTATATATCCATTAATTGATGGTAAACAACAGTTCCGATAGAGGCTGAATTAAATATTTGAACAAACAGAAAAAACGACGACTCACCATGTAGTTGAACATTGCTCGTTTGGTAGCTCTTTCTTTAGTGTGAAGTTTAACTTCTTGAGCTTTGGTATTTTCCCTTGTTGGAGACTTTTGACAAAACTAGTTAATTATATAAACAACAATGATTAACATGAGATCGCACGCCCCCGCGGGCGCCCGGGGGGGGGGGAAGATGATGAAAATTCTACTGTACTCCAGCGAATGGTAATGCACTAAAAGTTATAAAAAATAAAAAAAATAAAAAACAACCTCATACATTACTTATTTACCTTTGATTTGTCCTTGAATTCATCTTTTGGCTGTAAATTAAGAAAGATAGGCTATTAGTGGCAATGATACATATGGTAATTATGTATGATCCGGACTAATTACCAACTTCATGAAGGTCCATATAGTAATGCAAAGAATCCAAGAAAGCATAGTGTTAATTTATGTGAAATGATAAATTTTACTAAAAATAGATGTAGCTTTTACTAACTAGCAATGATTTTTCATTTTTAATAACGATATACATTAACCTCATAAGTAAAAGATGGAGTGTGTATGAAGGGAAAGCACTTTCCATCCTCATGCCAGTTTACTCAAATGATTAGCATTAACTTCATTAGTAAAGTATATGTATACCAACTAATACACTCTCATTTGCCACTTAACTTTAATTTTCCATAGAAGGATATAATTTCCTAGACCTGATCACGTACCTCTGACTTAATATGGCAAAGGGATATATTGTACGGAATCACCTTTAGAATGCCTTGAAGATGCACTTTTACTTATATATTCCTCCATTTATTTTCATAAATGAATAAAGAAACATATATCGTGTTGCCACTTATATGTTTAAACAATTATCAAAAGACTATAAATCATGGGTGTCGTTTTTGGAACTATAAAAAAAATCATTTTTTCATGCTTTTTATATTTTAAACAAAATATAGTTGCAAAATGAATTTTTGGAGTGTCATAGATAACTTTATAAAGAAGTCTTCAGTACAGTACTTGGTTTACAAGCTAAATATTTGTTTAATATGGTTCTAAATGATAGAAAGAAAAAGTAATACTAAGACACGACTGTGAAAAGAAAAAATCAGGAACCAAGGAATTAAGGAGGAAGGAAAAATAAAATTTGATGAAAACTAAAAGGTAAAAGATCGGAGACTAAATGAAAGAAAAAAAAGGATATTGAGATACTAGATTTTTTTTTTTTTTTTCCTATAAGTTGATAAAATTAGTAGCTTCGAGTTTAATTTTAGGAAGAGGCTAGACTGAGTTCACAACCAATTGGCCTCAGATCATATATGGTGAGATTAATGAGAACATTTATGTTCACCACCTTAATCGATCCAAGGTATGTTCATCACCTCTCCAGATTAATTACAATAATATAAAGTCTGTTAACACTTAGTTAACCCCATATATATTAACTTCACTAATTACTATGTTCACATGCTAATTAACTTGGCAGAAAATATATGGTTTTCATATATTGAAGTGGATATGTCTGATCTCACCGCTCCTTCAGAATTCGAGCTCCATGAACCTGTTGTAGACTGTGAAGCACTCTTCACAAACTTCATTGGAAAAAAACAGAAGAAGGGAAGCTGAGAAATATGAAAGAGATATATATGTGTGTGTGTGTGCGTGTGTGTGTGTGTATAGCTATCATTACACTCATGAGCATGGAAATTAAAGAGGAACAAACTAATTTAAGAAATTAATGACATGATTAGGAAGCACCCTCACCTTAAGAGTAGATTTGGAGTGTGCCTTCTCCATAAATATAAATAGATGATATGAGCTCAAATGAAAAAAACTGTGGGTGCTTATTGCTCCATGAGATGAGTATATATATAAGGGTTGGATAGAATATTGTCGGGAGATTGGTGCTTGTTTTAAGTGCTTTGTTTCGGTTGCAACATCAAGACTTTACATGCTTTGTCATCATTCTCTGGTACCAAATTATTGTCAAACCCTATTAAGTTTAAGTTCTTTCAAATCTCATCTTGGTTAAATTTTAACTAGTACAAATATAAATCCAAAAAGTCTGCCTTCGATTCACATCATTATGTGCTAATACTAAAATTTTAAATTAGTTCTCAGGTTATAAACTGACTTTTAAACCAACTTTTCTATATTATAAATTGTATGAGTAGTGAGTAATACTTTAATAGGTTAGCAGTAGAGAGTCGAAACTGATATTATATAGGACTCAGTGATTGAAAACTCACATACTACATGTATACGAGTCTTGTTCAAACCTCAACGTCGAAACCCTAAATTAACTGAATATATAGTGACCAAGTGTTCAAAAAATTATGAGATCGACATATAATATATATAAACTACATGCGTACATGTATTGAGAAATATACTATTGTTATGTTGCTGTTGAATTTCTATCATTGATCATGTTACTTTTAGGGATGACTATTGAAAAATTACCTAAAATATAGATGACTCATTCGCATCGCTAGCTCTAGAAAGAATGTGAGCATTTTTTTTTACTTAATATATATATGCCCACACACAAAATGTGTGTGAAATTATTTTTGTTTTTAAAATTGAAGGAGAGAGGAAAAGAGTGAGAGAGAACGTGAAGCGGGAGACAGGTTTTTTTTTATTTTTTAAAATTAGAGATGTTAAAATCACATGTATGTGAGGCTTAAATAAAAAACAGCCAAATTTTATTATGTGAAATTACGTTACTGCCTTTAATTTTTTTGTTATGATAGAAGACTGAATAGTCTTTTCACCATCTTTTAGTTGACAAATAGGATTTTATTAATATGTAGTTTAGATACACACAAAAGAGTGCTCAAAAACTAACTAATTACTTACTAATCACTCATTTGGATCCGCTTCACAATTTAATATTATGATAGGTCATACATTCTTGCAATTATACATCCAAATTGGAAATCGTTCAGCCATTGAATTTTGTTATGTAGATAACAACACTACGTTCGTCTCATTATTTGGTCTCTTTATTTGGCGGTTTAATAACTAAATAATTTTCGATTGGAGTGAATTTTCCCAAGAACGATCTTTAATTAATATATGCATAAAAATAATGATTCAGATCAGGAGAAATATTTTGGAGTGAGTCCACACTAGCATTTATCATCTTATTAGGTTATTAACGATTTAACTCCAATGCTCCTGTGTGTGCGTATTAGTGAAGCTTCCATCCCCATTGTATTTTAATAATCTGAACTGACTATCCTTTAAGTCTTCCCTCGAAGTTCATCTTTACAAAAATTAACCAAATCGAAAATTGTATGACCATTGGATTCTTTTTTTTTTTTTTTTTTTTTTTTTTTGTTTTTTTGTGTTTCTTGGAAGCACCACATTCATCTATTTTCTTCACTATAATTGAATGTCTTAATAGTTTCGAATTTTTTTTTTTAATTTTTTATAAGAATGATCTATGAATGATTAATACAATATAGACAATCTTGATTGTTAAAAGATATGATAAAAGTATCTCTCAAATATGCTTATTTGAGAGACCTCTGAACTGGGGATGACAATTTTATCCGCAAAATTCAATCCCCGCAGTTACCAGAAAGATTAGGATATAAATACTTGGCTTCAAGGATAAATGTGGGGGCAACTGCAACTTTTCGAAGCATGTTTGGATATACTTATGTGGATAGGGTACCAATAACGGCAATGTTCTATATTTTCTAAAATGTTATATGGATTTATATTATCAAATATTTATTGACTATTTGTTCTTTAACAAAAAAGTTTTAACTTTAAGCAAGGATTTTTTTTTTTTTTTTTTTTCAAAAAAGGAGACACTGGTGGCAAGTTCGGATCCAGAGAGGTTATGAGGAATTTCATTTTGCTCGTGGTCACAGTTAAGCAGATTCATCAGCTCAAAGTATCGAACTCGGAACCTCCTATATTTTTTTGTTTATTGGATGTTTTGAATGTTGTATAATATCCTAGTAGATAGGGTATTGGATTTTTCCCATACGTCCATTCAAAACTCTCACTCCCCTATATTATTGTAATAGTTTTGAATCCTTCGTTTCTCCCTCCCTCTTAATAATAGTAATTTTGTTCTTAAAAAAAATGTGGATGTTTTATGGTTAGATTGTTGATTAGATCGTGATTCATTTTTCTAATCATAGCTTACATACTGCTTACATCATGTGATCAAAATGTTTTTCATTAATTACGAGAAAATTTAAAAAAATTATTATTGAAATGAATACAGCCGTCCAGATGGTATTTATTACTCAGCGATTATAACTATAACTATGATGAAGGATAATACTTCATTCTTTTTGGGGATTATCTCATTCCACCGTTTGCAATTAACGCATTTTCATTGTAGAAATTTCATAATTGAACCGTTAATTTCTTAAAATTCATCTGAAGATCATTCCTACAAAAAATATTTTAAATCGGAATTCGTTTAGTCATTCAAACATATCAGCGACATCAATGGTTTAAGTACCAAGTAACATATTCAATGAACCGTTCATTTATTTGATACATTTAGATAACTAAGCAATCTCTGATTCAAATGATTTTTGATGAGGATGATCTTAAAATGAAGTTTAAGAAATTGAACGGTTTCAATTATAAAATATTTAAGGTGAAAATACGTTATTTGCATGTAGAAAAATGAGCTTCTCCTCGCATGAGAGAATGCAAGCATATCCTATGAGGAATGCCCTAGCTACGATTAATTTGTAGTTATAACTACATAAAATTTTTATAATTATGAAAATGAATATAAGATGAATACCGACCTAAACCGCTGTTGTACCTATCCTCAATTACTCAAGCTAACCAGTTAGAAAATTAATATGTGGACCACGTAAGTACCCTCGTTTAATAAGATAAACTATGTATATGTTGTATATGATTATGTGAAAAAATGCCCGAGTTATCCAGTTGACTAACCTCTCAGTGTACACACCGTTACATGAACATTATTACCGTTTTGCATGCACAGTAACAAACAATAAAAGTCAGTGCAGGGTTGGTTTACGTGACTGGATTTTCAAAAAGCAAAAGCACAAAAAACCAAATGTAACCAAAAGGTTGTTAACACGTTCAAGCATTTCTTCTTAGAGCCGTTAAGCAACCACTGACAGAATGCCTACTTTGATTGCATTAGCAAGTTAAACCCCAATTAGAGCTTTTGGATTTTCGTTAGTGAGTAGTTAAGTAACATGTCATTAAGTTAGTTAGGTCATGGATCCATCCATCCATCCATCAATCCACCAAATTTAAACTACAAATCTCATCCATGCTTAAAGTTTAAGTTTAGGTTTCCTTGATTAATTAGCTTCTTACATACTACTTATGGACCCAAATATTGGCACCATGTCCAACGTTTATTTACTCAAGAATAATTAATTAATTAATTAACTAACACACTGAAATTATCTTAATAGTGAAATTAGCATTGCATGGTTTACCAAAAGATTAGGGTAAAATTATGTGAAAAGCAAAAGATCACCTGTTTTACTGATCCTTCTTTTACCTTAATAGAAGTACGGTCAAAATGCCACTAGTTTTGTGTGTTTTTTGTTAATAAAGAGTATTATGCGATATTGGCTCATCAGGATAAGATGATGTATATAGGTGAGACTTGTTAAGAGTGACTCACTATTGATCACATTGATGTTGTCTCCAAACTTGTATATTATCTCATACACAACACGACAAATACGTAAGGATTTATACCAAAAACCTCAGTGCAAGTATTATCTAAAGTTATCAATACTTGAATTTGTCATTGATTTAATATGGTTTATGAATTTCACTCTCGTTTTGCACTCCTCGCCTTGTTTTTGTCCCTCTGTTCCTCTTTGGTCCATCCTAAGACTAGATAATAAGGACACCTGAGGAGAAAAGAGAAGTGCAAAAATCATTTCCCTTGAATATTTCATTGGCTTTTGATTGTTGAATAAAAGAAAATTGATGCATAGATGGAACTGAAAGACCAGATAAAGTTTATCAAGGAGTTGGGAGTATTTTTTGTATTGACAAATTCTCTCCCATGGGTAATGGACCCGTAGTAGTATGTAATGCACAACTCTTTTACCCATAAAATGTACAAATACTAAAGCGGGTGGGAAACGTGCTCATGAATGATTCACAAGAACCTAAACCTCAGAGAAAAGTAAAATCTCAGAAACAAATGTGTTACGGGTCCGCAAGTGTCCACTCCTAACTCCAGCAATGCGCCGATGGTGTCCCAAATTAACCACCTAAGCCCAATACCCTGGGTGGTATTAAGTTGAATGGCTCTTAAGTGTAGGGCTTTATCTTTAAAAATCTCGGTGCAATAGGAGTGGATCACCTATTTTTAAACCATAGATTACTGTTGGCTTGTATCTTCATCTCCTTCTTGGTTTGTATCGAGCAAACTTTACATGAACAAAAGAATGTTGCTATTCTGGGGGATTTGAATCTCTTTTTAGCAGTAGATGCCCAGACTCTTTCTTGAAAAGCTTTCCAACCACATCATCCCAACTTGCCCTTCCACCAGTGGACTTTGACTTTGTATCGGCAGGGTCTTCACTCTTACTCTCAATCTCTAGAGCCTCCTCCGGTTTTTGGTCTGCGGGGGCTTCCTCGTTGGGCGTTACAGCATGAGGCACATTCAAACTGACAGCTCTTTCCAATGCATCTTTGTGTTCTTTTTCAAAGGTCCGCAACCTCTCTAGTTTTTGTACTTTTGGGGCAGTTGTTACGGTCTCAGAACAACTTTCCTTCATTCTCTGAAGAGTATTTACATCACTGATCAGTAATTATTCAACATATAAAATATAAGCATTTACAATTCAATAGCAAACAGATAAA